ATGATACCAATGGTATATTTCACAGAACTAGAACAAATATTCCAAAAATCTACATGGAACCACAAAAGACACTGAATAGTCACAGAAACCTTGATAAAGAAGAACAAACTTGGAGGAATCGAAACAGCATGGTACTGGCATAAAAACAGACATATAAATCTGTGTAACAGAATAAATAGCCCAGAAATGAACCCATGCCTTTATGGTCAATAAATATTTGACAAAAGAGGCAAAAGCGCAATGGGCTAAACACAGTCTATTAATAAATGGTATTGGGAAAATCAGATAAGTGCAAAAAATTGAAATTAGACCACCTTCTTACACCATACATAAGAATAAACTCAAAATAGGTTACAGACTTAAATGTAAGACTTGAAACCATAAAAATTCCAAAAGAAAAGATAGGCAGTACAATCTCAAACATTTCTTGCAGCAATCTTTTTCTGATATATCTTTTTGGGCAAGGAAAACAAAAGAAAATATAAACAAATGAGACTACATCAAACTAAAAAGTTTTGGCACAGCAAAGGAAACCACTAACAAAATGAAAAGACAACCCACTGAATGGGAGAACATATGCACCAAGGACACATCTGGTAGGGGGTTAATATACACAATTTATAAATAAATTATGTAACTCAACATCAAAAAAATGCCAAACAATCCAGTTTAAAAATGGGCAATGGACCCAAATAGACACATCTCCAAATAGAACATATAGATGGCCAATAGACAAATGAAAAGATGCTCAATGTCATTAATTATCAGAGAAATGCAAATTAAAACCAGAGTGAGATCTCACTTCACATATGCCAGAATGGCTGTCATAAATAAATCAACAAACAACAAGTGTAGGTGAGGATGTAGGAAAAAGGGAACCCTAGTACACTGTTGGTGGGAATGCAGACTGGTATAGCCACTGTGGAAAGCAATATGGAGTTACAGCAAAAATTTAAAAATGGAATTGCCTTATGACCCAGTGATTCCACTTCTGGGAATATATCCAGAGAAACCCAAAACACTTATTGAAAAGAATATATGCACCCCTATGTTCATTGCAGCATTATTTATAATAGCCAAGATTTAGAAGCAGCCTAAGTGTCCATCAGAAGATGAGTTAATACAAAATCTGTGGTACATTTACACAATGGAATACTACTCAGCCATAAAAAGGAAGGTAATTTTACCCTTTGTGACAGAATGGATGGACCTGAAGAACATTATGCCAAGTGAAATAAGCCAGTCAGAGAAAGACAAATACCATGATATTCCATTCATATGTGAAATCTAATGAATAATAAACTAACAAAATAGAAAAATACTCATAGATTGAGAACAGACTAAAAGCTGTCAGAGTGAAGGAAAGTTGCAGGTGATAAATGTGAAAGGATTAAGCAAAAAAAAAAAAAAAGAAAAGAAAAGAAAAACCCTTATAGACACAGACAACAGTATGGTAATCCCCAGAGGGAAAGGGAAGTGGAAGGAGGCAGAGGAGGGTATAGAGGGGTATAAATGGTAACAGAAGACTTGATTTTCAGTGGTAAACACATAATACAATATATGGATGATGTATTATACACTTGTACACCTGAAACCTGTATCACTTTATTAACCATTGTTAAACCAATAAAGTCAATACAAATTTTTTGAAAGATTTTATTTATTTATTTTTAGAGAGAGGGGAAAGGAGGGAGAAAGGGAGAAAAACATAAATGTCAAAGAGAAACTTCAATTGGTTGCCAACTGGGGAACTGGCCTGCAACCCAGGCATGAACCCTGACAGGGAACCAAACCACAACTTTTTGGTCTGCAGTTATACGCTCAACCCAGTGAGTCACACCAGCCAGGGCAAAAATTTTAAAAAGTAAATAAAATATCTCATGATTTTGAAAAAAAATCTTTCTGTATATTTCTCTATATATGTGTATGTTTGTTTCTGTATGTGTTTCTACTGTTTTTGTTTCTTCAGAGAACTCTAATACATGGCTGGGGACTCAAGTCTCCTCTAGGCTCAATGCAGACTTGCTATGTTACTTTGGATAGAGCATTCAATCTCTTTGAGCCCAAGCTTAGCAGGGAGGTTCCATGAGGTGATGTTATGTGAGCCACAATTATGAAAGTTAGTGACTTCTATTTCTTTTTTTTTTTAATTTTATTTATTTATCTTTAGAGGGGAAGGGAAGGAGAGAGGGAGAGAAACATCAATGTATGGTTGCCTTTTTGTGCGTCCCCTGCTGGGAACTGGCCTGCAGGGAACTGGCCTGCAACCCTGGTATGTGCCCTGACTGGGATTCGAACTGCGATTGTCTGGTTCGCAGGCCCGCGCTCAATCCACTGAGCTACACCAGCCAGGGCACTTCTATTTCTTGATAACTGAGCATTAATAGCCAATACATAGTGAGTATTTTCCACCCATTCCTATTTAGTTCTCACAATAACCATGGGATTTGTACCATTATTATTCCCATTTTTGCAGATGAACAAATGAAGGCTTGCAGAGATCATGTAGTTTGCCCAGTATTAAATCAGGTCTGTCTCATTTCAGTCTGGACTACCTCCCAAAGGTGAAAAAATGGCAAACATAACTTTTCCCAAGTGGACTAAGGAATTTTCCCAAACCACCACAAATGGATTTGATACATGAAACAAAAGAACCACCATGTCCAGGCCTTTTTTCCTACATGAAAAATCACCACTTATAGATAGTCCTGAGAACTGAGCAGGCAACAAGAGAGATCTACCCAGGATATGGACTGCGGTGGGAGTGAAGGCTACTACAGATGCCACCTTGCATTCCCCAACTCCACTATGCCCCATGTTAACTGAGAAACCAGGAGCTGGAGGGGATTTGGACAGGTGGTTCCCTTTCTGAGCCTTCTATTCCCAATTTCTGTCCTTGTGGATGAAACTGTAGATGCCAGGGGCACATGTAAACACCAGCTTCTGGGTCCGAAGCTAACGTGAAAAGGACTTCAGAAGTCTGGGTGGAGGTTTGAACCGCTGTGAGAATTACAATGGGACTTTTGCAATCAACAACAGCCTCTAACTGGGCAGTCAGCCCTCCCACTAACTATACTCTCAGCCCTAATCCTCAGTCCTCCACTGCACTGCCACCTGAACTTTCCCCTCTCCTTGCCTGCAGGGAAGAGCAATAACATATTTCTTGCTGCAGCTAGATGCTATAAAAGCTTAACCCTACCTGATAACACTTTCACTGGCATCCTACCCAGAGCCTTGGCTGCTGGAGAAATCCCAGGGAAGGAGGAGTCTCTCCCTAGTGTTTTAACTCAGAGCACAGTGGACAGTGTGCAGGAAGGTAGCCTCGCCTGAGGCTCACTCTCAAGGGCAAAGGTAAGAGGGGAAGATTAGATCTGCTTCCTGAGGGATCCAGCCACTATTCAATTTTCTGGGAAAAGAACACACTTGACAAAATTTCCCTGGCGTTCAGGTGGAGAAAATGGAGGTGTTTTGGCCCCACCAGCTTCCCTCTTACCACACACAAATTCACCTGGCCATACCCGAATCTGAGAACCTATCTGGGACCTGCTGAGTAAGAAATGGCCATGAAGTCTTCCCAGCTGTGGCCACTCACCCTCTCCCCATCTCTCTCTCACAGTCCACCTATGTTCCATGTCAATAACAATTGAGTAGTCCTGGCACAGATGAGCAGTCAAAACTCCATGGTCCAATGGATCTATACCTCCCATTACCTACGGCAATTTTACTAAGTCCCTAAGCTGCCTCCCAAACTCTGCCCCCTTTCCTCTCAAGTTCCCAGACTCTAAGAGTGAGGAGAAAGAGGTGGCTCAGTCAATGGTCCTACAGCCCTGGCATAACCCACCTGACCAGCTATCTAACTGGCCTCTCCTGACATTTCCCTCTGGAAATATAATGGGGCCTCTTTTTATCGGGGGCAGGGGGATCTAGGAGATCAAGAGACACCTCACTCAGAGTCTTTTCCTTCAGGATTCCTGCTGCTGGGTCATTATTAGTCATTCACCACCCTTTCAGGCCTATTTGCTGAGAAACTCCAGCATCTCCACTCTCCATGCCCCCTAACCTTGGGAGCCAGGTCTACCTTCTGGTTCCCTCCAAAACATACACACACTGAGTAGAGGCTGGTCTCTGCTACCCTCTCACAATCATGGCCAAAACATGAGGGTTGACCAGCCCTCCTTCCAGACATGGTTAGGAGTGGCATCTCTCTCAGAGCATGTGGACTTCATCTGGGGCTTCTCCCCAGGTCATTCTGCTGCAAGTTTCCCGCTTTCCAGAGCAAAAAGGAGAGGTGCGACCCCTCAGCTTCTCCTTGACTTGGGACAGCAGGGACAATCAGTTCTGCCCAGCATCACCCTCCCTCTAGCCTAGGAAAGTGAAACAGGAGAGGTGGTTCACAGACTCCAAGATGTCAGGGCTGCAAGGCATGGAGCCACTTCATTGTCCTGTACACAGGTGAAAAAAGAGGCCCAGAGAAGGGAAAGGACTTGCCCTAGTTCACAAAGCAAGAACCTAAAGACTATACCTTCAGGGATCATTTCTATAGTTCGTTACAAAGCAAGATCCTGACCCTGGATTCCCAATACCCCACCCCACCCCCACCCCTGGTAGAGGATACAGAAATTACTCCAAGAGGAAGTCTAGGTCATTAATATTGACTTTTGAAAGAGGGTCTGAATCTGGAGGTTCTGGGGAGAGCTGGAAGAGGAAGTGGGGAAAAGTCTGGTCAGGGAGGGAGACAGGACTTGGGCACTGGAGGAAGGAGGTGAAAGGCTGCGGGGCGGAGGGCGCTCCGTGGTAGCACCAGATTAGTTCCTGGGAAGAAGGATGGGGCCAGGTCTGGACACTAGGGACTGGGGCAAAAAGATGTGGAGAATAGCCCTGCGTAAAGCTGGGTAAATCGCGTCCCTCTGGTTCCAATCTTAGGTCTGCAAGTCTGAGTGTGCTGGGGACCCTGGAACACAGACTCGAAGGTCCCACCCCGCATAACGAGGGCGCCTCACCTTCTTGAAGTCGGCAATGAAGGAGACAAGGGTGCCGTCGGGCTTGCGCAGCTCGAGGCTGATGCTGTCGTTGTCGCTGTCCGCCTGCAGGCTCTCCTCTGTCACCTGGCCGTTCGGCAGCCGCACGCGGACTCGCAGCTCAGTAGGCGCACCCGCCTCTCCGCCCACGCCACGCGGTGCCCCCAATAGCGGCCCCATAAGCGAAAGCAGCATGAGCAGCGCATGCGACGCGGTAGGAAGTCCGCAACAGCCTGAAGGGCTCATCCCCGTGGGCCACCGCCGCCCTCTGCGGCCTCAGCACGGAGCGTGCGGGAGGAGAGAGGTGCTACAAACTTCGCTCAAAGTTGGTGGCTAACTTGGGGCTCCTGAGAGCGGCTCCTTGGGGGCTTGGCTGCGGGCCGCTGGAGATGTGGCACAGACGCACAAAGACTGTGCCCCGCGGCGTGCACCGGGCGGCTCCTAGGCAGCCTCGGGTCTCCCGCTGCCCTCTAGGGTCTCCCGCGGCTCCGGACTCCGACACTCGAGGGCTGTTTTGCACTTTTCATTCAATTCCCCCCGCCCACCCCCCGCCCCGTCACTTCCTTCAGAAATGAGAAACCTGCCTTAAAGAGACCGCGCACCTTTTGACCCTTAAAGGCCTGCGGAAGGTCTCCGCTCTCCAGCGGCGGCCGGAGGAGAGGGGACCACTTCACAGCAGCTTTGTGGGAAAGGGGCTTTCGCAGTCTCGGTCCCTTCCAGCTGCGTCCCGTCAGCAACCGGGTCAGGGGTTGGTTCTTCGGGTAAATCCCTTCCTCCCGGCAGGGGCGGGACCGTGACTCTGACCCCTCCCCCTTTCTTTCTTTCTTTTTTTTTTTTTTTTGACTTGTTCTTTTGCCACGTGGATGAAATACTGGGGCTTGGGGTTTTGTTTGGTCTTTTAGTTTCTCTGACAAAGCGGATTTTTAAAATGCTCCTGCAAAATCAGACCTCGTCTCGCGCTCAATCTTTTGATCGGAGAGGGGAGCTGATGTTATTACCTGTTTTGACACCCCTTTGACAGGGATGTGAGATCTTGGTAGGTTAGGGTACCTCTCTAAATGAAGCCTTCAAAACACTCACATTTTGTGAGCCCCTGTGTGCCTTTCCTTTTCATTACAACCTCCCTCTTTTCCACCATCCAGGGCTTTTCCTCGGTCTTGCCCACCTCTCCAGACCTGCATTCTCTCCCTGTTTTCTATTAACAGTCTGAGCAGGCAGATGCAGGAAAATGATAGGCTCCAGGGCATTTCGGAGAATATACAGATACTCAAAACACTGGCGCTTGATCGTCAGGGGTTCTCCTAAGGCCCCAAGAAAATAGAACTGACCTGTCATGCACCTCAATAATAAACTTGGTGAAGGCAGGTAGGGGATCTAAATTCCTGCTTCCTCTGATTAGCTGTATCATTTGGGCACGTTAAAAAAAATTCTTTGGGCCTAAGCAACACCTGTGTATAGTGGGAGTTATTGAGATCTATGGTGTCTTGCTAATCCCATGCAAAAGAAAGCTCCAAGGTGATCCGTGGTGTCCACTTACCATTTCTGTTTATTCTAGGTCCCCCAGTTGTTTTTCTGAGATCTTGATTGCAGATAAGTGAAAACTCTCCTCTGCTCTACAGCCTCCTTCCCTTCTAGATTTTCCTCAGCACCAGTTCTCACCGGTACCAAAGATGACAACAGGTACCCAGGCATGCAGGTATTGTGAGAGCACAGAGTCAGACTTCCTTGAACTGCAGGGTCAGAGTCAGGCCAAAACCCACCTCTTGCTATCAACTTTTCCTACTACACTCTGCTGCCTAAATTTAGGACCGAAAGGGGTTCAAGGGATTATCTAACTCAGTGTTTTCTGAATTTGCCTTCCCCCCAAAATAAGCTGAGTGCTTGTTAAAAAAAAAACCTGGCCCCTAAATCTAGCCCATTAGACTCCTTAGGGAGAAAAAAACCCCAAAATTTGCATTATAAAACAAAGGCCCAGGTGATGTTTGATATAAGAGGTTGATAGTTGGTGTTTCATAGAGGGTTAAGGATAGAGATTATTAAAAAACAGCATTTTTCCTGGAAAACCATCCTAGCCCCTGAGGAGTTGATGTTTTCATCAGTGAGATAAGGCAGACTGTTAGGCAATAATGAATTTGCACAAAAAAGTCTTTTCTCTCAGAGACCCTCCCATCCTGAGCTATCAAGACTGACAAGAGAGATGACTGGAGTCTAAAAACTGGCCTCCTGTCTGACAGGATACCCCATGTCAGTCCAGCCTTAAAGCTAAATTTACCCATCTGAGTTATCCCACACGGTCATTAGGGCCTCACCCTCATTTCTTGACTTCCCTGTTTCAGGTTCTATCCCCCATCCTTCATAGCTTTGACCCCAGCCATATTTCCAGGTTCCTTCCCCTTCACCCCAATGAGATCTCAGAAGGAAGCAAAGAACCCTCTGTGTCTGGGTTCTTTTTTAGGTCTCTGAGGTTCTCTCTGTCACTTTAAATTCTGGGTTTGGAAACAAGGATAGAAGACCTCATCTCTTTTCACTATCTCTTCCCACATAATCAACTTTCTTATTTAGTTAAAACCACAGATCAAATTAGTTTTTTTCTCTTTTTTTAGGAGAGAAAACTTGCAGTCTCACCTCACTATATGAACTCTACCTCTGTACCCATTCTTTCCTTTTAATTTTACCTGAGCAGCTCTTCAAGACTCAGAACAAAACAAGTTTCCCAGGAAGACTTTCTTAGCTACTAATATACAGCTCTGCTCCAGGCTTCTCTTTCCTGCCTCTGGATTCCAATGGTAACAATTATTATAGCAACTACCATTCATTGTATCCTTATTACATTCTTCAAATTCTGTGCCAAGCACTTTACATGTATCATCTTTTTAAAAATTTTCATGGCAACCCTCCAAAGTAGGTTCTACTCTTAGCCCCTTTTAATGACTAGGAAGGAGAGGATTAGACAGGTTGAGTAACATACCCAAGGTCATACAATCAGGAGAGCCAGCAGGGACTCAAACACAAGTCCACTCGGCTACAAAGCTCTTGCCTTTAACCACAATAACATTGCCTGCCTATAGTCCTTGCTTTTTTCCAGCTCCATGTGGGCACACATCCTGTGGTATCTTCTGTAATCTAATGGTTTCATGTATGGCAATCTTGTACCCCAGTGAGGCATCAGTTAGTTCAAACAGGCCAGCTTTGTGCTGGGAACACAGAGTGCCTCCCTTAAACCAGCCAGGCACAGAAGCATCCATTCATCTTAAGTGTAAAGTTCCTCAGAGGAGGAGCTGTAACAAGCTTAATTACCCTGGCTACAACGAAGTGGCACTCATTGTCATTAGAACATTCTTTATGTCTAATCTCAAGCCCTCTGCCATACTACAAACCAATATCCTTTCCTTTCTGATCTCTAGCCCTAGAAAGCAGTTGCAAGTAGAGGTTCAAAGCAAGGCCACCAGAATCTAAATCCTGGAGCTTGACCACTTATGAGTGTGACTTAGTGAGTCTATTTCCCCAATTATAAAATGGGCACATAAATGCTTACCTCATTGGGTTACTTTGAAGATTAAATGAAATACTGAGTAAAAAACACTTCACAGTATACAGAAAAGGCCCAACAAATGGAGTCTATTATTTGTTACTTAATATTGTTTATTCTTCCCCATTGTATCAAATATTAAATTCTTATGTGATCTACACATGCTCCCCTCCTCCCCTGCCCACCCTCCTTACACACACACACACACACACACACACACACACACACATAGTCTCTCTTTTGGTCTTTCAGTTTCATGCTGCTTGAGACCTCCAAAACTGGAAAGTGGTCAGCCAAACTTTAGAAGGTACCTCCCCTTTGCTTTTGGGTCCTAGTGTACCTTGAGTTGTCAGGAAGAGAAATGCTACATCATCTCCCAGTCTGTGACCAAGATAACAGGTACTGATGGAGTCCTATAGAAGGTTGAAAGGGAAACTGAACCAGTGAACTCTATTAGGAGATGGGCATAATGCAATAGGAAGCCTGTCTTTGCACAGTGGAAAGATTTTTTTTTTCAATTTCTTCTTGTGGCTAGCACTTGGCTTGGGTTCTGCTGTAGTCCTGTATTACTGAGCCCTTGCATGTAGGGCTGACTACTTATGCTTTGAGTCTGAGAGGGTGCTGGGAATGGGGTGGGAGTGCCCTCCTCTGCCTGTTTAGGCCAACTGCAAAGCTCCAGTCACTTCACTGCCTAAGCAGAACTGCAAACTTGTTTTATAGTAACAAACAGTTACTCAGTTACATAAATCCAAGGGCGTGGTGGGAAAGTAGACTGGAGGGACAGTGGGGTTGGTTAGAAAATGGAACAAAGAGAGGGCGGGACACCTGGATGAAAGCCATTCTCCCTGGTCAGAAAACCAGGCCAAAGTTTTAGATGGAGCTGAGTCAATGACTTTTAGAAAGGAAAGAAAGCCTGAATGATCAGAACTGCAAGAGAAGATATATCTCAGCTCATTTATTCCAGGCCCATGACTTCTGAGGTTTCCAAGCATAACCATCTCTTTCTCTATGCTGGTTCTTCTAGGCCTTTCCTGATCTCCTATCTGGACACTTCATTCATTCATTCATTCATTCATTCATTCATTCATTCATCCGTCCATCCATCCATCCATCCATCCATCCATCCACTCATCCAGTTGGTCAGACACTGTACTAGATGCTAGTGAAACAAGACAGATATAACAATTCCTTATACTGAGATGAAGCCTATAGCTGCAAAAGGAGTAATCATTAAAAAGTAAGTACAAAAACAAATATTTAAATTATAATTGTTGTAAGTAGTACTACATAGAATTTGAGGAGACTCTATCCTAGCTCAGGAAGCCTTTGGGAGGCAGCAATGTCAAGGCTGCCTCCCAATGTCTAGGCTGCCTCCCAAAGACTTAAAAGATGAATCAGGATTGATCAGCAAAAATGATACGCCAGGCAAAGGGAACAGCTTGTTTACAGGCCTGGATATGATGGGCTCCCCAGAAACTTCACTAACTACCTGAGGCCTGATGTAGAATGTGAGCTGCTTGAAATATGCTGGAGAGTTGGGCAGGTATGAGGTAATGCAGGGCCTTGGGGAAAATGTTAGGATATAAGTTTTTTTTTTTTTGCTTTGTTATCCTAAGAGCAATGGACAGTCACTGAAATGTATTATGTGAGGGAGTGACATGCTCAGACTTATGTTTTAAAAAGATTACTCTGGAAGTGAATTGAAACAGTCCAGATGAGAAATAATGGTGGACCATGGTGATGACAGTGGGAATATAAAGAGGGGTTGGACTTCAGCTGCATTTTGGAAGTAGGATTTGATATTGCTTTGGACTTGGGGTTGAGTGAGAAAGAGGGATCAAGGGCAACTCTGTGGTTTTGACTTGGCACCATGAATTGAGATTGGGAAGCCTGGGGAAGAAGCCCTTACACTCTTGGTAGTGGTACTTTTCACTTTCTGCCTTTTGTTATAATGATTTTTATAGCATCTGTGTTTGAACCAGAAATACAAAAGAACTTAGGCAAGCTATGAGTGTCACCACTCAGAATAGAAGTTTAGCATTCTGAAGCCAGGGCTACCCTCCTTCTGAGATACCACATAGGGCTTTCATTTCATTGCTTTGGGTGGGGTATGCTCTATGTGGCCCATCTTTGTACTCACCTCGAGCCCAGCGTAATGTGTTGTACACAGAATGTGCTCAATAACGAAATGTTCTACAGCCCTGTGTACCTGGCACTG